TGAAATACAAAGAACATTAACAAGAAAATTGAAGAAATTTGTGAAAGAAGGTCATATCCAGGCGAGTCAAAGTAAAGAAATACTTTCAAAGGAAAACGTAAGAATTCCTAAATTAACTGTCAGAATTAAAACACATAAACAAAATAAATGTAGACCAATCATAGACTTTAGATTCACATTATTATATAATTTAGAAATCTTTATTAAAAAGATATTACAGGATATACAAATTTCGAAATATGCAGTTAAAAATGCTGATGATTTAATTACAAAATTGCAAAAAGGTGTAATCTTGTCTAATTATAAATTGATGAGTTTGGATATAACATCTATGTACCCTTCTATTACTAAAGATATGATTTTGAGCAGTTTACGTAAGTATGGTGTTCCTGATTATTTAAAGGATTTAATTACTTTCACATTAGATAATAATTATTTTACAGTGAAGGAAAAGAACTTTTATCGACAAACAGAAGGTATTTCGATGGGCTCCGTAATAGGACCGAAATTAGCAGAAATTTATATGCTGGATGTGGACATGATTCTTTCAACATTAAATGGAGTTATGTTTTTTGCAAGGTACGTCGATGATATTTTAATAGTGTACGATAGTACACTAACAACAAACTTACAAATTTTGGAACAAGCTAATAAAATTAATTTGAATATTAAATTTACTCAAGAGCATGAATTAAATAATCAATTAAGTTATTTAGATATAACAATTAAAAGATTTGAAGATCATTTGGAATACTGTAAATTTGAAAAACCGTGTAATACGAGAAAAGTAATTAATTATAGATCATACTGTCCTTTAAATCAAAAATATAATGTATACCTGATGGAAATAACAAAGATTTTTTCTAGAACAACAAATATAGATAAAAGAAAAGAAGAAATTGAAGATACACATAAGAAATACATCTTAAATGGATATCCAAAAAGATTACTAAATGATTGGTTCCACAGATTTTTAAGAAACAGGTTTAAAGTTAAACGTTGTCAAGAAATAATAAAGTATGTATCATTTCCGTATATAAAAGGTATTTATGAAAAATATAATAACTTCTTTAATCATAAATTAATTAGATTGGCTCCATCCTTAAATAACAGGTTATCAAATATGATGATCATCAGAAATAATGCTAAAGATATATTAGAAGAAGAAGGTGTTGTTTATCGGATAGAATGCACGTGTAACAATCCTAGTTTTTACGTCGGTGAAACAAAACGAAGATTAAGGATCAGACTGTCGGAACATTTGGCTGCCGTAAGGTTGAAAATGAGTAATTCTCCTGTCTTCCAACATTGTAATAGTAATAATTGTCAGATTAATATTAATAAATTAAAAATAATTTTTAAGGAAAAAAATATTGTAAAGCGAAAGGTAAAAGAACACTTCGCTATAATTATGCAAAACAATAATGTTAATTTAAATACCGGAATGTTAACAGCGGCATGCTGGGAGTTTTTTGTTAACTGTATAAGTGGCTCTTCAATGAGTTGACTGTTTGAACGTAGATTTTGTGCTGTAAGCCCCACTGAAGAGGCCATAGGCGAAATGCATTTGGGAAGCTTGTTAGTAATGATGTAAATAAAAATTTTTTTCTCTCTGCAGATTATTTTCTTTTTTATACCTTTTTAAACTCTGTTTTTTAAAGATTTTATAGTCATTATTGGCTTGTTTTTTTGAAAAATTGAAGTTTTATATTATCCAAAAGTCAGAAGGGAAAGAAAAATATAATTTTTTCGTAATTTTACATTTTATGTAAGAAGAAAACAAAAGAAGAAATTTTCTAACTCCATTGAATTTTTATAACTTTTTTGAAAAAAATTTTTATTTTGTTAACAAAAGTTTCAACTTATAATCATTTATGTAATTAATTACTTAGTTATTGTTAATAGTTTGATTTTACTTTAAATTATTTAATTTTTTAATTTGTAAATTCTAATCACTATTAAAATTTAAGATTTTGAAAATTTTCTCTTTTCTTCTCTGAAAAGTTCATCATTGTCAGTATTTAGACTAAGCTTGCCATCTCCTGAAGAGTTGGTTCCAGGGGTTTTCAATTTCAGATTTGATCTTTTTATTCTCAGCAATATCATCTATTCTTCAGTCTGATATAATAAATAACCAAAATGTTGATAATTTTTCTGAGTAAATATGGAAAGAACAGGCTTCAATTTAAATATTTTTGCCAAATTTCAGGAATCTCCCAACAAGTCTATGAGAATTGGCAACTAAGTTCAAATACGTTTTGAAAATGTACAAAAGATTATTTTAATAATTTGTCAGATTATAGATATAAAAATGCATTTCTGCTATGTATGTTGATATACACTAGAAACTTCCATTTCTCTGAGTTATAACATGATAGAGAATTCAGCAATATCACACAAAAAGAGAGATGACAGTTTTTGAAACTTGTATATAAATATATATTTAAAAAGAATCTATAAACTATTATAACTTCTTTTCTAATATAACTACTGTTTAATTATCTGAATTGCATCCATTCTTATTGATGTCATACATTCAAATTACAATTGCATTTTAATATGCACAATTATTTTATGATTTTTGAATCCATAATACAACAAACAATTTCAACAAACAAAAATTTAACTTGTAACATCGTAAAATGAATTTGATAATTTTTCAAACATTTAGAAGTTTTTACATTCATTAGAAAAATTTATCAATAAGTTAATTAACAAAAAGATCAAACCCATGCACTGGCACTGTGTGGTGGAATCCATGGATTCTTTTTGCCTTCTTCGGTCCTGTTATGAGACAATTCTGACTGCAAGCAGTTTAGATATTTTTTACAATTAACAATTTCTGATTCTTCTAAGTGGTCTTCCCAGATGGGAGGACATATATGATGATTGGGCAATGAAGCTCTCATTCTTGAATTTCTCCTAAATGGCATCGTAGAAGAAGAGACATGCGTCATTTGATTTTGGAACAGAGGAGTAGCACAGTCTAAGGATGAAATGGTGGAACTGTATTCACTTGGTTTATGGTACCAAGGTAAAGTTTTTAATTGTTCAACAGCAGATTTGTGGCGGCTGGTTTGGAGATTGTTATTCGTCTGCAGCAGAAGCATTTTGAATTTCTGTATACTTGTTGATTTCGATGGATTTAGAATTCCATTGTGCATGCTATTTTGTACACTAGTAGGTTCATTCATTTGATTAGTTCTATTGATGATTGTGTTTTCAGAATTGTGACATCCAGTTTTAACATGGCCACCCTTTTTAGGTATTAAATTGTTTGATGGAGATATATCTGTATCTGTTTTAATATTATGACGTTTTTTGCTACTGTGGATAACTGCAAATAGGTTTTCTGGAGACATTGATTGATTTTTGTCACTGTTCAATAAAAAATTTTTATTTGTGTAATTTAGTTGATAGAAGTTTGTTGCTTGAAGTGCATGATTTGCAGGTGAAGTTTTTACAATTAATTGTGAGTGATAATAATCAGAATTATCATTAATATCTTTTGATTTATTTTCTTGATGAATTGAATTGTTGTTTGCATTAGAAATTATAGAGTTGGAATGATTTTGTGATACATGTCTTATACGTGGCACCGTATTACAATAGTTAACTTTTCCATCGGGATTCAATTTTACATAAGCACCATAAGAAGACATGGGTGAGGTGGAATGCCGAAATGGTAAAGTAGCAAATTTATGTTCAGGAGCACAAGACGTTGATGATAAGTAATTCATTGGATGACCATCCCTTCGTCTTCCTAATGAATTTGAACTGAAAATAATTCTTCCTTTTGGGTATAATTTTGATTTTGGGAAATTCAGGGATCGGAAATTACCATAGTTTCTTGTTTTTAAATCAGAGTGACTAACACTTCCACCAATTAATGTTTTATTCTGATTACTTCTAACAATTGGTGTAACAGTGACATGATGAACATATTTTAAAGGAACTTTAGAATTTTCTTCATATAAAGGCACTTTGTGTTGAATTATGTGATTAGTTGCATCTTCAGAAGCATAGTTGTTTATATTGTTTTTTCTATGTTCACTATTCTTTTCTGTATGATCTGCATTCATTAACTTTTTATTAGATAAAAATGATGATAACGATGGCTTATAATCATTTACAACTTTGTGAAATGAATCACTTAAGCCATTCTGGTAGTTATTTACAATGGGTGAAAGATAATAATTTTCATAATTTCTGTTGGGTTTATCATCTCTTGCATTTTTATGTATATCTTGGGGAGTATCATAAATATTAGATGATTTTTGATTATATTCTTCACTTTGTTCTCTCTTTATACTAGAAACTCGTAGCGGAGGAAGAGGTGGAAGTTTTGTTATTCCAAATAAACTCGTTGAATCAGATGATATTTCCGTAGCACTTTGTGATAATAAGCTGTTGATGCTGTTATTACCTATTGTGTCCAAAGAACTGCAGGATCCATATGTTTTTGTCGAGCCAAAACTGTTCAAACTGTTACTTTCTGACGATGTTCTGTTAGTTGTCCAACCTGCATGGAAACTTTTTAAAGAATCTCCAGATTCACTAATAGTTTGGTCTCTCGAATAATTCTTATAATAATTTGAATCATTCCCAGAAGCCAGTGTATCCAAGTTGTTGTTGCTGTTATCTGTGCCACAACTGGAATTTTTTGAAGTTATTGATCTTTTTTGGCTTGTTAAAGTAGCAGTAGCAGCAGAATCATCTGATGTGTAACCAGTCAATGTTCCATCTTGAGATCTACAAAAGGTAAGCACAGAAAATTGTTTAATATTATGTAGAATATTTAAAATTTGTCTTCTCTTAATCATTATTATAATTGTAAAAAATAAACTAACCTATCAGTTTGAGTTTCTGAAGACACAGAATCTCTTCCCAGAGAACTTTTTGAGGAATTTTTAAAATGGCGTAAACAAATACCATTAGAGGTTTCTGCATCCAAATCTTCATTTCCTGAGTGCTCGGCACTCTTGGTCGTCGAAGTCTCTCTCAGCTTTACCGCAACGGTCATTGCCGCAGACAGGGTTGATATCGGCAGAAAACTGCGTCCTTTTCTCATACCCAGTTTGTTGGTCAGGTTACTTGAAGCCGTCTTCAAGCTACTTAATTCTAGACTGGTTTTTACTTTTTTAATATCTTGATTAGTCTTTACAGTTTTGTTTGATTGCTCCTCATTCTTGCCTTTACAGCTATTATGCTCGGTATTTAATTCCAAATTCAAACTTGGTTTATTATTGTCTCCTATTACATTATTTTCCTGATTAATGATAATAATGTTTCTTTTATTTTTTCGTTTCTTTTTTCTCTTAATGAGGAAATCAAACTGTAAGAATAAAGCAAAATAAATATTTTCTGAGACATAAACATACCATAAAAAAAAATAGTTGCTTACATGAATGAGAGATCGTCTAAAAGTTGACATCTTTTGAAAATTGGAACCGGAGACATCAATTGGAACAAGACTGGATGGACAATCTAACGAAGAAATTTGTTTCTGTCGATGGCTTCCCACATCCCGTGATCTTTTATTATATATAATATCTTTGCCTTTCTTCTTCTGGAAAAAAAAAAAGACAAAAATAAAAAACTAAATTATAAATTTAATGAATGAATACTGTTTTATTATCCATTAATTTTATTTTGTAATTATTATTTATATAATTACATTTATTTTGTAATTATTATTTGAATAGTTTTTAATTTGAATTTGAACTTATTTGAATAGTTTTTAATTCTAAGCAAGACTTGTTTAATTTGTGTAGCTATTGAAATAATTTAGATCAAATATCAAACTTTAATTTACCAAAATTTATTGGCTTAACTAGTAACTTGTTAAAGTTTGACATCAGAATTGAGCTTAAATTATTTGATTTCATTTTATTACGTTTTATATTAGTTTCACCCATCTTTAATTCTTTAATCGGGTGGAAAGTATTGTTGTTAACTAAGTAATACAGACACAATAAATCACTACTCATCATATCAATTGCCAGCACATTTCCCGACAAAAACAGACTTACACCATCCTGTTTGGTGTCGTCCTTTGCTTCATCTGCCAGCAGAGAAGAACCGGCACCAAACTCATCTTCTAGCTTCCTAAAATGACTGGGAACACTGTCGGCTCCACGATAGAGAGTTTGAATGTGCTCGGATCTGGAAGGTGGGGCGAAAAAATTCTGCTCCTCCGGATAGACGGTCCGAAAATGCTGATCCAACCTCGTCCCCGTCAGATCCCCAACGGCTAGAAAAATACAAATCATCAAATTAAACTGCACAGTCATACAATCTAACAAGGTTAACGTTTATGTTACGTAATAAAAAACAGAAAAAAAATACAAAAGTGGGTTAACTGCTTTCATGAAAAAGGTCAAAATGTTTTTTTACACATACAAAAAAATCATATGACACATTATTAAAAATTGAGAGAAACCTTGAAATCGGATAATAACCATTTTAAGAATTAATTTTTACAGAATGGGTGATTCGCAGCGCGTGACGAAGAGCGTGATCTGCCGCGAGTAAGAGGAGCGCCAGTGGGAACGGGACATCGCATACATTCCCATTATTACCATTATCACGTGTTCCAAAACGACAGATGGCCAGCGAACTTACAAATACCACATATTTGTCAGTTTTACGGAATAACTGCCATCGATTAACCTCACCCTAAACCAGTTTAAATCCAGATTTTTGTTGTTGTCGTTTGAATTCGGTTAAAAATACTTTATATTTCGAGAATTATTTAATAAACTAATAATATTTTTAACGCCGCTCACGATCCAGACGGGAAACGTGATTTAATGCTACAAGTGTGCAAGTAGGTCACGTGCTTTTCGACTGTACACCAATCTTCTTTGTCGTCGTCTTCGTTATAACAAAGGAAACAGTTAATAAAATTTTATTATAAAGACAATCCGATTCCTTTCCTTTATAATTCCCCATCCGAGACGAGTTTGATTCAAGTTTCTATTCAAAACTTTACACCTGTCCCATTACCTGAGAAACTAAATAGAGTTGTTAATCTACTAGTACTACACAAGGTCGATGCTGTAATTTAAACCAAAGTTTTAACACGGAAATAAAAAATAAAAAAAAATTCGTATTATTTTCAAATCTATTCTAGAAAACGGAACTATTTATCTTTAATTCAAACTTTGACTTAAAAGATATTTTAAAACAGCACTTAAATATACCTTAGTGTTAAATTCACTTTATCGGCATCCCAACTATTTAATTTTTTGTAAAACGCATTCCCAACTAGTTTTGTTATTATAATAGCATTCTTTCTAATCATTATAGCGTTGATTTATATATAATTTACACTTATAATCGAAAAAAAGGTATATAAACTTACGGACTGGAACGGTTTTAGCGTTGATAGACTTGCTGTACTCGTTGCATTCTTGTATTTTCCTTCTCAACCTATCAGTACGCCTGTTGATGTCTTTGCACTCTAAACAGATACCAGCGAACACGCGTTCGGCAATGTACACTACATAAGCTAGTTGTTGGATAACAGATATTAATCTAGCACTGGTTCTATCTTCTAAAACATCCCTGTTCCTTTCGATTTTGGTCTTAACCACGTCTGGCATCTCTCCGGTCGACTTAACTTTATCGACTATCACCTGTGTAGTAGTTAGAAAACGCCATTTTTATCCTCTTTAAGAAGGCAGACAGGTGGGTAGTAGCGTGTGAGGCAATGTGACCCCGTCCTGTTGAGACCCCTCCGGCTAACTTCACTGAAGGGAGAGTGAGAGACTCTGACTAAAGCACAACTTTGCCAGATGTCGGATATTTTCGCTCTCTCGATTTTCTCCGCCTTTAAAATTTTCTTAAAAACAAATAAATAAAAAGAGTAAAACCATCGGCGTGATAAATTTCGCGTCACGAACGCGTTTTTAACATTTCCTGTTAGTCTTTTGAATATTTATAGGAACTTTTATCTGATCTTCCTATGAATTTTAAAACGAAAAAAAAATTTTTAATTCGATATGCTATTTTTTAACTTAGTTTTTACACGAAGTTAATCGCGATTACACGGTAACCATCTATAATTTCCGAATTTTTTCCCCATTCTTCAGACTTATTACGTTTAATGTGAAACAACGTCCTGCAATTTTATAAATTTGTTACACCATTTAGACAATTTTCTGCCTATCTAGTTTACTGCATTAAAAAAATCTACCAACACTAATTGAACTGGAACTTAAAAATTACTTTTTTTGGTTTCCTACTAAAATTAAAGATACGATTGCTTAAAAATTGGCGTCATTTCATTTTTATCAATCAAACCCTTATTTTTCAGTTAAATGCACAGTACATTTTAAATACATTAATAATTTTTACTTGGATTAAAATTGTTTAATAATTTCTATTATCGTTCCAAATAACGATGCACTCATAAAATAGTGTTTTCTCACTTTATTTTAATAATTTATTCATAATCGGTGCTGATATAATAAAATCTCGATCATTTATAACTAATAATAATAGCTAATTAATAACACAGGATATTATATCAACACGTCTGTAGATGTGCATTATTAATGAAGTACAATTAAATCTGAAATAAATCCAGACTTATAAGTTGTATTCCTTACTTAGTATGTTAATTCCAATTGTGTCAATATTACACTTTAGCTACTGTATTATAAGTTCCTGTATGCATTACTTATATGCATTACTTGTTATTTATTATATGTATCACTAAAATATAGTTCATAGAAGCTGAAAAAGTGTATGAATGCTCTAAATAAATCACACATACTCAAAATTCCTGTGAATATTAAATATTTTAATTGCTAACCAGCAGCAATTTTCCATAGAATAAAAGTAAATATATTTTCAAAACATTGTACAGTACATGTATAATATAAGGCATACAATAAAGAATGAGAAAATTATCGCCAAATCGCATTGGCCACCTGGAGGAACGTCTCTCTCTCTCTCTCTCTCTTATTCCCATCGTGCGAGATTTGGTCCGATCACAAATGATAGTTTGGTGCATTAATGATTGGAATGGAAGACAAAGAATAAAAAAATTTTAATACTTGTGATATTATTTTAGTTATCTTTTGTACAGAATATCCAGAATCATACAGTAAAAAGGCACCACTGAAATTTTTGTGATATGTTATCTTTAGACTGTAGAACGACACAAGTTACGTGTTTATTCTTTACTTAGGAACATAAACAACATGCATAGAATGTGTGTGTATGTACAACATTTAACCACAATCTAACTAGTGATATGGTCACTTATTTTATTCCCATACAAATTAATGTGGCCGGTGGGAAATGGCATCAATTTACTCCTGTTTACAAGTGCAAAAAATTGTATCCATCTCGCAAAATATCTTTCAGGATTAATATTGGATGGCATTCTTTCCAAATTGCTTCAAAAATAATACTGAACATACACACACAGTATGCATGAGCTAGAGATCAAAAGATTTAAAGTATTTTTTTTTTATCATGTTTGATACCTTAAGTATCAATTATTTTGAGAATTAGTTAATAATATTTGTACTGTTCATGCAAAATTGCAAACCTTTAAATTATAGAAATGTTTAATATTCATGATCTTTAAATTAGATATCTTTGAAGCTTATCAAAATTTTAAGCACAATGTGAAAACAAAATGATTCCATAGTAAATCTAAAAAATCTTTTAGATGGCATGATCTTACTTGGCATACAAAAAATATTCTTTAATGTAATATGTATTGTTTAAAAAATTAAATAATGATATTATGCTAGGTAAAAGATATGAATTTTGATATTAACACGAGAAAATGACTTTTGATTTTTTTTCCTTCACTTTTTGTAAAGGACTTCTAGTCTATAATTTTCCATTAAAATTGTAAAAGAGATCTGGTAGAATTAATGATGATTTAATTGAGATGGAATGTTTTATATTATATTGACAATCATAATGTTCTTCGAGATTGCATCGAAGAACGTAATAGAAGTGAACAGTCTATCCACATATTTGGTTTCTCTAATACTGAACGCCAAACAATTATTTCTTCTCCTTGAGAATCCATCCATTCAACATCTCGACCTTCATATTTACCTATTAAAAATTATAATAAATTCATTTATATCCTAAAAATATATTTGATGAATTGTATAAATTTGTTACCTGTTCCAAGATTCAGCCTCACTCCTCCAAGAAAATCATTACTGGTGATTTTGTCATAATCCCAAATTGTCAGTTCTAGACATCTGTCATGAAGATCTTCAATAGACACATCATCGTATACAAAAGTATGATTCCATTTTGGATTGCATGTTTTCTTTATCACATGGGTTTTTTGTTTTCCTGATTTGCTTTTATCTGGTAGCAAATAACTAGAAAAAGTAATAAATAAATATTTTAAAATCACTTTCAGTTCCTACTTAGAAATAAAAATTTATATATATATTTTTCCACGGACTAAATACCTTTTACAAAATGGATCTGATGTTCCATTAGAACGAACTGCCATTAAATTTCTTGCTTCTTTGACCAGAACATGTAATGATCCTTTCGCAGGCCTTCCAGAACGTTTGCTTGGTTTTTGTGTGGTAACATCAAATGGAACATATTTAAGAGCAAGGTTTAAGTCTCCTTTATAACTAATTGGAGAATCTAATGATTCCAACTGTAATGATATAATAAACTTTAGTAATTTAATTAGTAAGTTTAAATATATTTGTAAAATACTAACTCTCTCTTGAAGAGGATACCATCTTAAACCAGGATTGTCAAAAACTTCATAACCTAGAGGTAACATTACTTCACCTAAGAAATCATTTCTTCCAAACATATCACTGTGCCAGATAGAAAGCCATAATGTGCGTGTTTCAAGTTCACTGATTGTCATTGGAAACTATATATAAATCACATTATTAATTATAATATAAATTAGAAAAGTTCATTAAAAATATCAATTGATTTTCTGAAAATTTCAAATTTACCTTTAAAACTTCATCAAAATTTGGATTTAATGTATGTTTCTTCACCTTAGTTTTTCTTTTACCACTCTTTGTTCTATCCGGCAATAAATAAACTTTGGTATAGCTATTAAAAAATTCAGAATTTAATAATGATTATAGAAACTTTTTAATATCAAAGTTTGATAATTAAATAACAAGATAATAGAAAAAAAATCCAGTAATAAGTTGCTTAACTATACCCGGCAGCACTTATTGTGCACGTGGCACTATCTGTTATGATGTTTCATTATTAAAAAGTTTAATTTTGACGATAAAAATGGATTTTATAAAAAATTGCAAATGTTAATAATGAGTAAAATTGTCATTAAGTCTGACCCTACTGGATATATGGCAAACAATCCCCTTTATTTCCCCATCCCGCCAACCTTTGACTACCAAAATTTAATAGCACAAAAAGCACTGGAGTTATTAAGCTTCAAAGAGGGTGAACAAAGTCATTCCCACCCACATACTAACATCAATACATACAGAAAAAAAAAACCCACAAAATTTTTTTGCATTTCTTGATATTTCAAGGTTCTAAATCCAAAAAATGTAAAAATCTTGGGAGATCATTTTTTATCAATAACCATTCTTTCCCTCTGTTATATATAACAGAGCCATGAAAGTAAAATGAGAAATAAAGCAGCTTTAAATTATGTCTTCTTATTTGTTTTTAAACGTTTAATTTAGTTTTGTGATGATGTTATTGTCTTGTTAAAAGTTTACAGATAAATACTGATACAGATATTTGAGATGTTATCTCAATTGATTAACTCATCTTACTAGTGTATTATGCAATTACTTTATAGTATTAGATGCAAATCAAAGTTGTTATAAAAACAAATTAATAATAATAAACAAAAAATGATTGTTACAGTTTTTATATATGTTCCAATGTTAAAATTAATAGATAAGAGTATATCAAATGATTATTTTTAACAACAAGATAACCACTATCAAGAAAATTTAACTTAAATACAGTATGATGGATCAAGATCTGAATCATATCTAATGTTATTTATTGCATAAGAGATAACATAACTAAATCAAAACCAATCATGTAACAATTAAAAGATTGATAAATACAGTAGAGCGTCGATTTTCCGAAAGTCAATCATCTGAAATGTCAATCATTCAAAAGAATTCCAGTCGGCAAATTTAAATTTTCGCCAGTGCTGTGGCGCTTCAATCTTTGTCNTTTAAATTTTTGTAAAAAAATTCAAAACATTCTATTATTGATTCATTGTTATTCTGTTTCCAACATTATAAACAGATTTTGGGACTTTCTCAGCACAAATATTTTCTGTTTGCACATTTATATATCAAAACAAATTATCTTGTTAGGGATGATATTAATTTCTGATGTGTTTGTTTCCTATAATATTTCCTTACTGCTCTATCAAGTGAATGGTCAATAAAAAGGATAGTAGAAATAGAGAACAAAAAGAAAAGTGTAGATAAAGTATTGCAATCTAAAGTTGTAAAATTATATGGATGAACTTAAGGGTTTTGATTGAATATACAACTTCAGATTAGTTTGATATTTTTAATTAAATAAGCAAGTACATTTAAGACTAACAAATGAGTAGATAGGAAGTTTTTATATTAGAAATATTGTGTAAATACTGTAATAGCAAAGTAAATTTAACACAAACATGACACAAGTTATAAATAGAGAATGTAATTGAATGAAAATAAGTGTAACTTTAGTGCATAATTCTATCATTATGTCACCATAAAGTTTACAAATTTGTCATTATAACAAAACATAAATACAGAGTGTCCCACTTAAAATCAGTCCAACTGAGATGATGAAACATTTGTGATGTAAATTTTATAAAGGATATTTAAAAGAGAAAGTATATAATACAAATCCAGAAATAGAAGCAAACTGAAGGAAAGCATACTCAGAAGCACTAAAGCTGTGTATATATCAGTATTTAATATAAGATCAATCTGAACATGATTATGCATATACAAAGGTGCATGATACACAAGGAGACTTGCTAGAAACTTTATCTGAATTCATTCATATCATTTCAAGTGAGAGGAACCAAATTTACATGGGGCACTGTAAACAATTTATCATCAGAAAAGTTAAGAAAATAAAAAAATTTTTCTTTTGTTTTCTTCTTACATAAAATGTAAAATTACGAAAAAATTATATTTTTCTTTCCCTTCTGGTTTTTGGATAATATAAAACTTCAATTTTCAAAAAATAAACCAATAATGACTATAAAATTTTTTAAAAGAAGAGTTTAAAAAGATATAAAAAAGATAATAATCTGCAGAGAAAAAACTTTTATTTACATTATTACTAACAAGCTTCCCAAATGCATTTTGCCTACGGCCTCTTCAGTGGGGCTTACAGCACAAAATCTACGTTCTAACAGTCAACTCATTGAAGAGCCACTTATATGGTTAACAAAAAATTCCCAGCATTCGGCTGTTAACATTCCGGTATTTAAATTAACATTATTGTTTTGCATAATTATAGCGAAGTGTTCTTTTACCTTTCGNCTACTGTATATCAAGGATCATTTCTTATATAATTTTATAGATTAAAATAATTATTATAATAAGAGTACTGTAATGTCAAACTCACGGGTCAGATCTGTTTTTCTTTGTGTCAACAGCAGCTATGTTGCGGCATTCTTTTACATGTACTTCTAGACACGAAGCCTTATAATTGTAATTCAACCCAAATAAAACTTCTCCACTGACCACTACTGTTCCATATCGCCCTCCTCCAGCTGCACTGTATACACTAGTCATACTCTCACTTCTTGCCTGGGCAAGTAAACAATATTTGTAAGAAATTTTTAAAATATATAAGCCAAAACTTTTAAAAATGATTTTTTTTATTGTCTTACCACAAATGAAGACAGAGAAAGTTGACTCTTACTATGATAGCTGAATACTTGATCAACATCATCATCTTGAATGCCAATACTATCTTTATCAGAACTTGCACCATTATTTTGCCTTGATGTATTCTTAAATTTTAAAATTTATCAGTTATGCTAACAAAATAAACTATGTCATCTCTACCAAGTATAAAATTACCTTTGCATAATCACAGACTGATATTTGAGGAAGGTTGACATTTTCTTGCTTACAATCATCACTACCACCAGATGATGATCTTCCCCTTGCTCTTAATCTTCCATGTGGAGATGGTCTATGTGATAGACTACTTTCATCTAAAATTGAGAATAATTATGTCATTGTTTCAATGATTTAAAACATTAACAATAATAATAGAATTTTATGAGTAACAAATACTGATGGCAATGTAATATAACAAATACTTTATATATTTACTTATTTTAAAAAAATATATATTTATATATACATGCATACATACATATGTGTGAGTTTCCATAAAAAAAATTAACTTAATCTTGCTTTTGACATCTTTAATTCGATTATTTTTTAATAAAAACTGACAACACTCATTTATTTGGCCTGTTAACTATATATATACTAATCAATAATGCTATTTTTATCCCTTTAAGAAGAAACTTAATAAAAAATTTGACATCTCTTTGGATAAGTTTAATAATGATCAAAAAATAAATTGCATAAAAACATTAAATTAGATATATACTTACTATTAAATTGATATTTTTAATTATTATTTAAATAATTATTTACTGTTCAATTTCTTTTTGCTTAAATATATAAATGTTGTTGAATAAATCTAAGTTATATATATCTACATATATACAACATATATCTAAGTTAAAATTCAAACTTTTCAAAATAAATTTTATTTTTTCATATCAATCAGACTTTGATTATTACTGTTATTTTCAGTTCTAAAAAATTACCTGCATTTTTTTTTCTGTTAATAAGCATCAAACAAGGACAGCAAAAAAGAAACCAATTAAAATTTGAAACTGTATTTTGGTTGATACAATCCTTAGGTTGCATTTTGTTGCTAAGACAGCTTAATCAATATGTTACTTTCTACAGTCTGTGTTAAACTGAGATAATGACTATATCACTAAACTTGCCCTTTAGTACAGGAAATTATCTAACAGTTTAAAGGAAATTGGGATAAACCATTAACAAATCAGGGAATAATGTTTTAAAAGTTGATGATAATATATAACTTAATTATTAAGTATAAAAAAAAAAATTAAGTACCTCTAAGTGCAGTCAATTTTCTAAGAACTCCTGATGTTGAAAAGAATGATGAAGTGAAAGGTCGGGGTCGAGTTGCGGGAGGCATGTAAAGCTTTGCACGAATGCTTAGTGGGAGTGTGCTGGACTTACTGGATGAGGAGCTACAAACTTCTCTTGGAATATTACCAGAACTTAATGACATAGATGGCATTGATTTGGAAGTGGAAGATTCTTCATCTACTTCAGGAATGGCTTCAGTAGATGTGAGTGATCTATAAAATGTGAGAGAAGTGGATGATGTTGGACTGTTAGGCAGATCATCAAGACTTAAAATACTTTCTTCTGAAGATTTAAAAGAATAATAACCAGTGTCACGAAATGCACTTTTGTTACTTCCTGTCTCTAGTTCTGATATATTTCCAGTGGATTTTGTTGCTAACACTTTTGCATTCTTTTTAGCTATTCTATAATTTACAGATAATAAATCATTTTCACTACATGCTTTTTCTTTACTATTAAGTGAAACAGAAATCCTGGTACATTGTTTAATTTCATGTGTTTCACTCATAGGCATCTCTCTCACAGATTCAAAAGACTGCCTGCTAATATCATATGATGCATCACTATTTTCTTCTAGAGCATCAATACTCTCAACACTTTCTACTCTATCTGTAGGAACACTAATTTGAATACTGGATGATTTTTCTGGTATAAAAGTATAATTGGATGATGATTGTCTAGATATATTGGCAGTGAAAATATTTGAACAAGAATCCATATTGGAAGATCTTATTTTATTTGTTTCTTCAGTTTTTGATAAATAATCAAACTTATTATCTTGTTCAGAAGTATCACTATTTGCATTTGCAGAACTAATAAAGGTAACTTCAATATTTTGATGCTTATTCTCTTGTGATTTAAGACTATTGCACATGTTATCCCTCCATATAGGAACTTGATTTTTTGAGTATTCATTTGGATCATAATTACTATCCAGATATAATAAAAAATTATTGCACTTCTCACTATTTGTATGATCCCTTTCTAAAATCAATTGTTCTGTTAAAGCCATTGACTTATTCCTAGAATTTACCAAAGTATCACTGCTGCTAAATGATATATCTTCTTCTATTGTAGAAATTTCTGAGTTTATGTGAGATTTCATAACAAGTGATTCAGGTAAGTTACCATTTGAACTTTCTAAAAGGGCAAACAGTTCATCCATTTCATGAGAAATTTCTGATTCAGTAGGAGTATTGTCTGAATCATCAAAACTAGGAATGCTGATACTAGCTGATACTGTTGTTTCTGATCCAGATTCAGAAGGTGTTTTGCTCTTGATGGAACTCTTTCTTTCTACAGGTTTAGAACATTCTACATCAGAACTATCTTGAGTGTCGCTAGGATTGTTCAACATCTCAACATTTTTCAAAAGTTGACGCTCTCGCCTTTCTCTTAAAGGAGAATTATTTCGACTAACGCTAACAGTATGCATAAGAGCTATTATTTGATTTTTAATGTATTGTCTAGCATGAATCATATCACTTTCTTGAGTTTGGCTATTTCCACTAGAATCAAATATTGATTCTGAAGTTATTTTCTTCAAGGATGCCATCAGTTGTTTACATATGTACAGAGTTTCTTCTGAGATTGTAGACTCATTATTAAATTCCGTCAAACCCATTAAATTATTTTGAAGTGCTGTTTTATTTGAATCAAATTCAGAATGCAGCAATGAATTTTTGTAGCCAGAGAGGTTATTTTCTGCATCTGTTAATTCTTCTTCTGATTCTAATGTATCACTACCATAATCACTGTTATTACTTCCAATAGTGCTACTACAGCTACTACTACTTGGTTCTTCAGCTGATAAGGATAGAGGAGATACTGTCTGCATTAACTTTGCAATTTGTAATTCTAACAATTTCCAGTTATCTAAACCATTGTTATTACAGTTTAAAGAATCATTTTCAGATAAATTTCCAATTAATTTTGTAGAATTAAATTTTGCTACACAATTATTAGATCTGTTCATAACATCTGATTTATATTTTTCATCATCTAAGTTAGTTTCATAAGATTTATTAAGCATACTAGAACTTAAATTTCTATTAACATTCTTTTGATATTTATAATCTGTTATCAATGAATTAGTTACTTGATTAGTTTCATTTTCAAACAGTTCTTTAAATAAAGTTTGAACATCATTTAAAATTTCTTCTTTTTCATAATTAAAATGATTACCTGTACTTAAAAAATTAACTGGTAATTCTGTCTTGTTAATCTGATTTGTTTCTTTCTCGATAATTAATTTCTTCTGTTCTGGCAAACACGTTAACTTATTTGGAGGATTATTTAGAGCTTTATCCAATTTATTTTTTTCTGTCACTTCATTATCTGATAATGTCTCTTTATAGGGCATTTCTGTAGGGTTTTGAAGTAAATTTTGATTACAGAATTCACCTTCAGACAATTCTGTTCCTATTGAACTAACTGAATCTGTGCGTGTCCTTTTATTTATAGAAGTTTCATCATCACTACTGACACCTCCACTCTCGTCAGTTAATTCTGAATCATCAGGATAGCAGAAATGGCCAGCTTCTGATAATCCTGAAGAAAAATATTTTTCTAGTCTAGAAATTGCCATAGTTTTAAGATTTTCTCTACTCCTATTATTATTATTATTATTATTGTTATTTTCATTATAAGTTGATTCAGAGGTTTCTGAATTGGTATCAATTCCATCTAAATCCTGTTCACCTTTCCTTGCTGTTAACAATAATTTTGGATCTTCTAAATTATCATCTTTTAATCTCTTTAAATTACTAGTAGTTACAATGTGTGGAGAACATTTCTCACTTTCTTCACAGCTCTCCTCTGTAATTGTGTGTAAAATATGTGGCAGTGGATGACAATCATAATTACTGTATGCATAGGAACTATATGTAAATTCATCTGAAGATGAATCTGTGAGAAACACATCTTCTTCACTGTTACTCTCACTTGATTTTGTACAAAATGCAGCATTTATTTCTTGTTCATTATTTCCTTGTAAACTTTCAACAGCATGCTGATCTAATGACTGTTCTACTTCAGTGATAGTTGTTGAAATAATAACCTGTTCTTTGTTTTCATATGGCAACTTTGGTTCACTTGCTAATGAGTCAGAAACTCCACAAAACTCATCATTAAAACGATCCACTTCTAAATTGTCTGCTTCTACAATTCGAAAATCATCATTGCTAAAATGCCAACTTTTTTCACAGTTTTCTGCCTTTACACAACTAATCAACTCATGCATAGAGTTCATTACACCGTCGTTTACGTTTTCCTTTTCACGGGAAGTAGATTCACACCCCAAAGGAAATGACCAGGTTTCTTCTGTAACATCTTCCATTTTAAATTTAGAATCTTCATCTTGATAATTATCCATTTTCATCAATTCCTCATTAGCCTGAAGAATTTTTTCTCTGAGAGCTAGACTCCTCATACGGCCATAAGATTCACTCTCTATAACAGTGTCCTGAGAATCAGTGTCTGACTCAGGCTTATCCAACTCCTCTCCACCAGACTGTATTTCTAGATCTTGTTTTGAATCTTCCCATGACCCACAAGTCTTCCTAGAATGTTTAACAACTTCCATAACAGCTGCAGTTTCCCATGTGGCATTCAATCGTTTTTGTAGTTCATAACAGGCTTCCCCAGAGTTAAGTCTGTCGACCTCACGTGTACTGCTCTCCACTGGGCTCTGTTCACACATCACAACGTCGTTTTCCCCTCTACACGCCACGGACACGCTATTGGCTTGGTCCAATCCGTGACTAACAACAAAGGGCAGTGCCTCCTCATTCTTTGTCATCTCTTCGTCATTATTTACGTTAGCTTCGTCAGATGGCAATATAGATCCCACGTTACAGGTCGTTTGGTTAAGATTTCCGGCCAATAGCTGCCGACTTTGTTCTATAATAGCCCTATTCTCATCCGAATTTAGGACGTTCGACGGACTACTCCCTTCGCTCGCAGCTACTCTTATTTCCTGATCTGGTCTGATTAATTCGATACCTTTCATTTCCCGCGCATTTGTAAGTGAAAGAGCGCTATTACTTCCGTTTTCCTTCGACGAGTAAGACTCGATACGAGAGTGAAACCGGTTGGCGGCGGCGCCATTAAACAATAGACTTGCTTCTAAGTGGTTCTTGGAGAGATTTATAGCTGTAATTTGACAATTCCGCTTCTCGTAATGAGAAAACTCGTTGTCGCAGTCACTACACAACTCCCAATCGCTATCTTCGATACACAGCGTGCTGCCGTACATTTGGAATCGTGACGTCACACGCAGCGTTTTCGGGCTCTCGGTTTCTTCGTCTTCGTCTTCGATGTAAACAATTCTGTAGTAATCCAGATTCAATCTGTATCTTTCCAAGTCTTCTGTCCCCTCAAGCTGTGTGTCAGTATGGGAGAATGTTAAAAAGACATAACCTTCACCGGGGAATGGGATAGTTAGAGGGATTCGTTCGTTAATGGGGGTAGAATGGTTAATGGCACAGCCTGTATAATAGGGACTATCTAGTGCTGCATATTAAAAAATAAATACATACAAACTATAAAATCTTATGAACGAGAGAAGCATAATTGTAACTAAAGCGAGAATGCCGATCCAATTGCGTTTCGCTAACGTAAAACGCCCAATATGCTTATATACTGTATATATATATATATATACACCCCCGAACGAACTAGATCTGCATAAAAGTCAAAAAGGGCATTGTTTGGTTACAAACAGGGCGGACGTGGCACTTCAGAAAGCGGGCGGAACCGAAATTAAGATCTAACACGCCAAAATGGGAGTAGTAAATTTGAAAAGAGGAACTGAAAAGGTTCTGTTTAGTATTCTGTTTCTGTAGTCTTATCTATAAATCAATGTAGGCCCTACTCGACCTGTCAGGCGGAACTGCTACGGTTACTTCAAATGTAAGAAAACACAACAACACTTTTAATCTTCCCCCGCATCGCGGTGTCATTTATATTATAGACGATAACAAACTTGACCGGATTTGTAAAAAAACAAGAACATAAATAAAAAGTAAAGAAGAAATACCAGTAGCGTGTTGCGTGCATTGTTATCCACCATCGCACACGAACAACATAATTAAAGCAGTGCTGCGGTATTATATAGACTAACGTGCAAACTTTGTTATCGATCGGCATTATCGCGAGCAAGAGTTACATTTATAAAGCGCGTAGCAAAAACTTACCGCTGTGCGCCCTTTCCCTCTCTTCTTCGTTCGACTTTCTCTTCTTTAGAGTGACCTTTCTGAATATGACCCCGGTCGATTTCTCCACTTCCGATTCGCTGATACTCGAGGTGGAACCGCTGGCGGGTCGTACGTCAACGGGTTTCAGATGAGTCGCCCTGGGTGACGTCGAATAAGCTGAATCCGTATCTCCTCCCGATTTCTCTTTAAGCGTGGGACTGCGTTTAGTGGTCGAAGAGGCAGTGGGAGATCCGCACCATCTTTCCTCGACCTCGCTACTGGCCGAGCAAGATCTGGCGTGCGGACTATTGCGTCGACGCGACGCTTTGCGAGCGCCGTCGGGCGACACTGAACTGGACGAGCTACCGCTTTCTGGTTTCGATAGTTTCCTGATAAGGTTCGTCTTCTCCATCTCTTCCGAATGATAATTCCTGCTGATTTCCGCTAACGTCTCGACCGACCTACTGATTTTCTTTAAACGCGCGGACTCGGGAATCAGCTCCACCGGCTCCGATTCCGGTTCGTTATGCCCGAAGCGACGTCTGATTTCCTGAACCAGGTTGCTATCCGCACCCTTCCAGTGGCTCGTAATCTCGTTTACCGGCAGGAATCGAGTCTTTTCATCTAGGGCCGGCTGCGATTCGGATCGCTTCAAATTACCAAACAATCTGCCGTCTAACGGCAGTAGTTCCAATTTCTTGAATTGTTTGCGGATGTCGATGGTGAAAGGCAATTCCGATTGTTTCTTTCCGTCTGCCTCCTGATCCCGAACGGGTTCTCCAACTTTTGCTTCTTCGAGATCAGCCGATTTTAAGTTGACTGCGTTTCTAACTCGATGGCGATCTCTATTTATAGAACCTGTTTGGAATCCTCGGTAAGAGATTATTTCCTATAAACAAATCTTCAATAAAAGCAATCGTCGTAAGACTTACCTTTTTGACGTGCTTCGAGGATTGCCCTGAGTAACAAGTCACCGGCGGGAGCGCGTCGCACTCTTCTTTTACTCGATCGACGACAGAATTCTTGCATCCATTCTCCCGAAGCAGCTTTAAATTCCCTTTTTATGAATCCGAGGGAGGAAAAAAGTATGTACGAATCAAATTGACAGCACCACCGAAATTTTTTTCGTCTTAAGTAAATAACCAACCTTTCATTGAAATCGGTCTTAATTTATTTTCCAGTAAAATGCAAATATTTACTATTCGCTCCAGAAATTTTTCGAAAAATAATTTTTTCTCTAATCCACAAAAACTGATTCTAATTACGAATCCCCGTAATATATTTTCTCCCAACATTCTACGCATTAAAAACAAAAAAAAAAACTGTCCACAAACGAAACTTGTTTCTAGCTAATGAAATCAGCTAGGAAGTAAAATAACCCAAATAAGATGATTTTCTAATTAACAAACAATTTAATCTTAACCTTTACAAAATGCCTTAAGCTTGATATTTTTCCGTCGAAAAATGTAATTCATAAATGGCAATCTCATCATCTTTAATCCCTATTTAATTTTCCGTCATAATGTCGCCTTCTAGGTATCGACTTACCCACTCAACCGAACAAAACAATGGGTTATTTGTCCGAAATGAAATTATTTTATGGCGAAAACTTACAATTAGGCATAACTCCATAAACGAAATAGTGCGATTACATTTTCAATATTTAATTAAGTAATGGTTTCCTATTAAGTAATCGAAACCGCTACGATAATTGAAGGTGAAAAAAACTTTTTCCGGCTTTTAAACACGAAATTCAAATATAAAATATGAATTTTTAAAACGTCACTACACATTATCAAAAATTTATAATTAACGATTTAAAACGTGTACTGCAACGGATAAGTTACAATTATGCTAGTACACCCTTAATAAAAATTACTGTAAGAATTAAGATATTTCTGCCAAATTTTAAATATTTTATGAATCATACTTATTAGAAATAATCCGATAATGTGCTAAAATTGTATCCATCGGATCATCATTACAATAGAGCCCAATTCATGGAAAGAAAGGCTTTGCAAAACTCGATATAATTAATTAATTAATAATTTTAAACGATTTTTTATTCAACTTTTAAATAAAAAATCGTTTTAACTTTAGTTTTAGTAACGATTAAGTAACGCAACTGTACAGAGGAAAGTTTAAAAACAAAGGAAATTGTTTCGGATTTCATTTTATTTATTTTTAACGTAATAAGATTCGCATTTAAGAGTAATGACTTCTTGAAAAAAATTTATTATATTTTTACAATAAAATTTATTAATTTCAATTCGTTTTATAGACTTATCCCGTATCTAGATTAATATAAGATCATTCTGGATAGTTCACCGACATCACCAGAGCCGGATTAGACTTACCGTCCTGCGCTGTAAAATATAAGAGCGCCCTTTCTCTACACGCTACTAGAGGCCCTAAACTAAAGTTCTAGCTTTTTCGGTTTTGGATATCACCATAACAAAATCGTCGTTAACAAATACTGTATAATTCTGTTTTTACAAAATTTAAGCCGGTCTCAAATGAAAGAAAAATCGACTAATGCTTTCTAATAAAAAGAAAAATAATTTCTCATTAAACCAAAATTTAAGAAAACGGATATGTAGAATTTGTTTTGTCTTTTATCAATCGAATTTAAACATAAAATACTTCTTGAAATGATCGAATTGTTATAATAAAGTCAACCTTTAAATTATCTTAAAACGCAGTTTGAACAGTTTAGTCATTAAGTCATAAAAATAATCGATTATCGATAAACTGTTGTAAGACATTTAAAAAACTTGTTCGGTTTCAATATTTTATATATATATATCGAAGGTTTTGTTTTCTGGAGTGAATGACGGATTCAACAGGTACAAAGATCGATAAACAGGTAAAGCAGACGATGCGAACTCTCTCTCCAAAATTCCAATCAATCATAACTATAATATTGATAATACCATTCGTTCGAGAAATGAAACCGGATTATTTAATCGATCGACATAACAAATCTGACAATTTAATCGTTCACTTTAGTGTAATAAGAAACTAGACAACAATAGTACACTAGTTTCTACGTCACACTCGATGATGTTTTTATTACGCCCCCTAGTGTTTAAAAATCATCAAAGGAAGATGATGATTTTTTTAATTAAATAAAAATAAATAAATATATAAATATTCTTTGATAAGTCGAGACCACGCGTTCAGGAATGAAGACGGCAATTTTAGCCACGTCTCCGTTTATTTTATTATAATATGTTTTGTTCCGTAAGCCCACCGGGTATTGATCTAAAATTGTTACTTACATTTGTTTTCGACAGACAACGCACACCCACTGCTTGTCGACGTCGCCATACTGCCTGCATGCCTTACAGACCTTCTTGCGACAGACGGCACACAGTGCACCGCGGTTGATCAGACGGCCTAGTTCACTTGTGCAGCGGGCGCAACACCTGCTAGTGTCGAGTCCCTGGCGTAGCGCGCCGCGCCTGCGGAGCGACTGGAGTTCCATTTTTAGAGGCCTGCAAAGAAAGAGAGAAGAAATAATGAAAAAATAAAAAATACAAGTACAGATATGCAGAAAACTTGTAGATTTGCTTTAATGGAGCAGCTAGTGTCGCTTTACTAAACTGGTTTAAGATTAATTGTATCATGACACAAGAAATTCAATTTTTTTTTATACATATGCACTACGTTTCTTATGGAATGTTTTAATCAATTAGTTTACTGTAGATTGATGTCTAAAAGTTATACATATAAATTGAGATCGTAAAAGTTACCCTAACGGCATAAAACACTTATGTTTGCAGTTTATTATTTAAAAAAAACTCTTCTACCTTCATAATTATGCAATATAATAATTAATAAAAGACCGTTTCTCTTTCTTACGATTATTGTTTTTGAAAATTTTCTTCATTATTATTGTGTGAAATTCTTCCATTAGCAGTCTTAAATTGTGAATATTAGAAAATATATAATCTAATGTATTTATGCAAACGTATAAAAATCTTTCTTTGGTAAATAAAAACGCAATACGGCATTAATTTAGTTATGTTTACTCAAGAATGACAACTGATGCAATTTGAGTTGTCGGTATGGATAAACACAATTCATGTCTTTGAAGTAATATATATGAACAGTTTTCTATTTAAATTATAAATTAGAGAATCTAAGTTCACAAATAAATTGTAATAAATAAATTATATCTTAAAATTCCAAAGAAAATGCGTGCTGTAAATATTGATTTGTGTAAATAGAACGTGATTTAATATCCGGATCCCAATCATTACGGACAGGAAAATGATAATTTTGGTAATTATTCAAACAGAAAATGAAAAACAACCCACAAATATTTCAATAGGTGAATAAAATTAGGTTAAAAAGAAAATTACTACTACTTTCCGAAAATAGCATAAAATTCTCATCTGTAACTGAATTATTCTGGAGAATGATTTATTATATTACGTAATATAGTACCTCTCAGATTATACGAATTTTTGAGTTAGAACTTCTAGTGAACAACACGCAACTTTATCAGAATTGTTAAACGAGGTGTGTAAATGTGTAAATACAATGAGCGCTGAAAACATTTAATTTATCTCGGGTTATACAGTAAATTAAAATAATTATTGGCAATAAAATCGAATGTTTTGCAGTTGACATAAAAATACTAATTTACAAAATATCCAATTTTGTAATTCGTGAAAAGTTTTCGTTTCTCAACTGCCAGAGAGTTCATCATAGATAAAATATAGGAAAATCGTGGGGAAAAATCTTTGCAATTTTTCAAATTAGTAATGAGGGATTTTACCCTCATGTGTAATTTAATGACTAATGTTTCCAATGACAATACCTATTCTTATAACAACATTCATTAGTAACAGTGTTCTGATACTTGTGACCAAAATTGCTGTAATGTTCACTTCTACACTAACTAACAAATAAATGTTTAAAAAACTCAGAGAAAACAAAGAATAAAAGTTTGCTTTAAGCCTATTATAGAAAATTCATTTGAAGTTCTAATTTAAACATTAATGTACTGTACTTATGTTAAATCTAGTGAATTTCCTAAACTAAATTCATTATTATTATTGTATACCCTTAAACATTTATTATTTTATATATTTCCTGTATATTCCTTTACACACTTACTTCATTTAAACTTACTCCTATACTTTAAAAAGCACAAAAAAGTAATAAATTTTTATATATCACTAATTTTAAATTCTAAACATTAAAGTTGAATTAACAGCTGTCTTAATTGATGATCCTATATTCTAATGATCAAAATAACAAACATTCCTGTTAAAAACTTCTAGTTTTAAAACTTTAAATATTACATTAAAATATATAATTTTATGTAATGTGTGCTTCTTAAATTTTTATTTTAATAATTAAAACTTTAACATATATATTTAAAAATGTGAGTATTTTAGAATTTAAATAAAACAAATAATTCAAATTGAAATATTCTTGAAACTATTATAAACTTCCTTTGGTAAGAAAGGAAGTTTATTTTAAAAAATAATTGTATTACAACTTTCAATTATCAAAGTTTTCAGCTGTTTCCTCTTGCAGAATGCAGGTTTATCAAAATTAAAATTTCTTACAAGTTAGATAAAAACCAAAACTTGTACAAAGTTAACAACAAATGTCACAGCCAGCTGCTACATACTCATTTAATTCTTAAGTTATTACATATAGAATTCAGTCAAAAAATCAATATGTTTTATGATTATAATTTAAAAAAATTAGCAACAGTTTTTAAAACTTTTCAGTAATTAATCAACTTGTAAAAGCAATTCAAGTTTGACATTTATTCAACCATAATCCTTAAAAAAAAGTTATATTTATTTTGCTTAATAAAGATAATTTTTTATGATCATTCCTGTAGTTGTAGAAAGCAAACAGATATGATCATTTTCTTAAAATAATTACTTGAATACAAATGATGGTAAATTATTAGAATATTTAAACTAAATATTTAACTAAAATATATACAGTATGCTAAAAATATCAAACATTATATTTAAAACAACAATCTTAATTGATAAATAATAATAATTATATAAATTTACATATACTTACTAGCAAAAACAATCATTTTTGAATTTTTTTCATTGTTAAAAATATCAAATTTACAGTTATTTACTTGATTTATTATCATTATACTTATAATGATAATTAGGTAAATTTTTATAATAGACTGAATATATATTAAAACTTTATCATTTAGTCAAAATAGATCAATTTGAAAATTAACAGTCTGAACAATGAATATTTACAAAAGAGAAAAAAAGTGGATAAAAAACTTATTTAAAAATAAACACAACCATACATTATTATTAATATATTAAAAAATCAAAATTATTATTGAAAAAACAATCTTATTAATAATGAGTGCACATACATACATATGTACATAACAAAAAACTGTGTTTGTTTCTTTGCAAACTAATTAGAGTCTTTAATTAAAAAATGAGATACCAATATTATTCTTTAAAATAAGTGGCTAATAAAAATAAACAATTTTTTAAAAATTGCGGATAATATAAATTTTGAAATTTTATTAATTATAAAAAAATGTTCATAATAATAGAAAACCATTCAAAAGAGTTTAATATAAAATATTAAATATTGTTATAGACCTATATAAGTATTTAAAAATTAAAAAATATAACATTTAAATTATTATTATTATTATTATTTCTTCAATTCGATTAAGTGGCAGTCTTCCCCGCTTGATTGGAGAACATTGCATTTCTATTAATATTGTCCTTTTCGTATTATTATTATGTTGGGTTTTGTGAGTTATACTCGGTTCACACCGGTGGCTGTGTACTATGCCGGACCAAAGTCAAGGCATAGCAACCAAAACAAAACTGAAATTAAAGAAGTGTGTCAGTGTCTGTATTCAGGAATTTCCTAACAATGTGGCATGTATTCAATATAGTGGCCTTCTGTAGTGTTATGTATGTATTTCTACTCAATTCTAATGTTCCCAGGCTTTTGTGTAGTGTGTGTGGTATCACACCTGTACAGGANTTTACCAATTTAACAAATATTAAAAAGGTTTATTAGAACTGAAAATACTTTGACAATATAAAGTAAACTTATCTATATAAAGAGAGTAAATATTGACAAAATAAAAATTTACAAACATTTATATCAAATTGTGATATAAAAAGTTTAATATTTTATAAAAAGAATAAAAATAAATTTTTTAAATTCAATTTTCATTCATTTATTTCTGGAAAATGGTTCAACATCTACATACTGAGTTCAATGATAGCTTGCTTAAATTCCACTGAACTCAAATTACTACATTAGCATAAAGGCAATTTTCAATTCAGATGCTTAGTCTACACTGCAATAAAATTCAATTTAAAATAACTGAATTTGTATATTTTGTGAACCTTTTATTTTGAATTCTGCTCTCACATTGATCTAATAATGCTTGCAGATTTCAAAGAATATAAACAAACATAATTCCTTTATGTTATTGTAAATTGAATTTACATTCATTATCCTAACCAAGATGAACCTGTATCTTCAACTTAATTATTTATTCCCTAAATATTTATCTCATTTTAACTTTGAATAAATAAATTAAACTCTACTATATTATACTACATATATCTGTAACATATTCAAATAAATTCACTAATCTCAGTCAACTTGAAGTAATAACAATCATAAATGTATCAATACTAATGTAAAACAGCACTTTTATTGATATCAGAACAGATATGATGAATTTCATCACTTCTAGCATCAATCTCTTCAAAAGTCTGAAGTGTCTCTAAACTTTCAAGCTTTATTCTCTTTAAACAATAATCATATGTTTCAATAACCTCCATACTTTGATTTTTTTAACAATCACTACTATATTATCTTTAGATAAAATTGTAGAAAAAAAAAACCCACAAAAAATTTTTGTAGGCCACAAATAGCTACAGATTTTGGAATAAATCACACTTTATATCCTATTAATTACAAATGTCGTTCCTGGTAAACATATTAAATCACAAGTGTTATATAAATTCATTAACACTCCAAAAGTCTTTAATAATAAATCAGAAACAACTTCTTTATTAGGGTACAATATTTAACACAAATATCAGATAAAACATGTTCAATAGTTTTTGGTTCAAACTTATAAGAAAGTTTTTTGGATAATTTAGAAACAACAGAATTTTAATCCCTGAGGACTGAGCAAAAAAGTCTGAAAGCACTTGGATATTCGAGTTAAATATCCTACTCCAATAAAACATTTCTTTTTGATTTGAAATGTTATAATTTTCCAATATGTTAAAAGTACATAAAATGTATCAATGTATAACCTTATACTATAACATGCTGAAGTGATCATTAAATTCATTATATACTACATTCAACAAATTATGTGTTTGTTTTAATCAATAGATTAAAAAAAAAACACATTTTTATTTCTTTAATCTATAGATTAAAGAATTAAAAATGATTGATTCAAAGATAACAATAACAATATAAAAAAAATATA